CATTGGGGGGTTGAGTTTTATGCCTCATAAATGGATCATTATGCATGCCTCCATGCTTAGTTCTTTGGGATGCCATCTAAGTGGGTTTTTGGTCTTGTTTTACCATGCCATAACTCTATTTTTCATTGGTTAAGTCATGCCATGTTTAGTTTTGATAGGTGTAGCATAACATCTCTTTTGTAGCCTTGCATGCCTCATGCTTTTGGACTTTTGTTCTAGCTTGTGTTGGCTAAGTTTAAGCTTGTTTTTGGTCCTACTTTGATCTTCCTTGGGACTGTTTTGATAGCCCTTGGCCCTTTGGGGCTTGCCTTGCATAGCCATGGTTTGAGTCCCTTGGTTAGCCTTAAGCTTTAGGCTTTCTTGCATGCTATACTTGCTTTGTTTAGTTGATTTGGAATCATTCCTCACATATTTTCAGAGCTTATCGCATTGTCACATTCTCATGTTTGTCACACCTTGCTCATGTTTGAGAGTTGTGTCTTGTTGCCTAGCTTATGGGCCAATTGGCATGCATGTTTGTTTTGCATTTTGATACCATCATTTAAGCACTTTTGACCACTAATTTGGGCATGTTTGAGGGCTGTCCATTTTAGTTTAAGTCCGTCTTCGCATGTTGTTGCATGCTTGCCTTGCGTGTTGTCGCATGCTTGTTGCATATTTGGTACATAGCATGTTGTTACATGCTAATTCCATTACATGTTGTTGCATGCTAATTTTATCGCATCATGCTTGCATGTGTTGCGTAGCATTGTGTGTGCATGCTTTACCTCTTGATCAAACATGATAGAGGTTGAGGCCCCTTATGTGATTTTGTGCATTCATTCTATATCGAATTACACACTTGGCTCCTTTGGCAATCATGCATTGGAACGCGTGATTGGTGACCTGAGGGTCGAGAACTACATAACTTTGATTCTCAAACATGATAAGGGGTGTAGTCGTAAATATTATCTTGCAAATGTATTGCCATACCTCTATTTGTCCTCTACTGTAGCAAAACAACATTTTGCAGGAAAAAATGGCCGATCGACTATCTGGTGTGCCGACCGGCTAAAAATGTTTGGCTGATGACCTCGTAAATGGTCGATGACACATTTCCTTTGGCCGATGCTTCACCATTTGACCGATGGCCTCTCAGCATGTCCATGAAGTGGTTCTAGAGCATCACAGGACTTTTCACAGTTTTTAGAGGTGCAAAACAGTGCAAACAGAGGCAACATGAGGCATGGCAACGGATTTCCAAGTGAAGTCGATCGAGCGTGCATTTGTCCCTCTTATCGAGGCCGCTTTACTATTTTTGTAGCTTAATTAATTTGTTTAATTAGTTAAGAGTTATGTAATAATTAATTAGCTTGTTAGTTGATTAATTAGTTGATTTGTATTATTCTTTCGGACCCTCCGTCGACAGGGCCAATTGTTGTAATATGCGTGCGTGAGTGTGTGCATGTCTTCCAACCCCACGTCTTTCTCCCTTTTACTTAACCGCTTACGATGGTTAGTTTTAGGGCATATTTCATTTACCATCCTTATGCTATACATGTTTGCATCATTCATCTGTACTGCATGCACCGGGCTCGGCGCATCATACTAATTGCATCGTATTTCAATTCCTACTTAAATACATGTATCGAATTGTCGCATCTCATATGCCATCTTAGAATAGCCGAGCCTATTTCTAGTTACATTTTGCATGTGTTGCATTAGCCATCTTAAACATAGCTAGGATCACACATAATTACTAACTAGCTATTGTTTTGGCTCGGAGTACTAGGCAAGTGTTTATGCTTTAGCATCCTTGCATTTGTGTAAGCATTGCCATGATAGCATGCTTGCCATGAGGCTAACTGCTTATTTGATATAACTTCCTGAATACCTGTAGGTGAAGGTTGGATTACTTGAATTGGAACAATTCATTCAAATCCTCGACTTGGCCTACTTGCGAGTAGCACCTTCAAACCATTTTCAAACAAAGATGAGATGTTTTGTTCCAACTTAGGCGATCTAGTCTATACTTGTGTGTTGTGCACATAGTAATTATAGGCTAATAACCGGAATAAGAACACAAGTGTTTTCAAAAACAAGATATCATGTTTAGTACAGGTCGATCTTTGATCGGGCGAGCGGGGGTTCTCATTGCATGACCTTCCCCTCTCGTACCCAAGTTCCCGAGCCGAGGCAACTTTAGTGATGACGGACACGTGGCCTTAGGCACGAGTCAGGGTTTCCTAAATTTTCCAAAACAAAAATATTTAGGTGGTGACTCTGTATTTAGCAAAGTAGTCCATGTTTGACATTTCTTTACAAAAATCAGTTTTCCAAAACGATTTGCCGGATTTGGACTCTTTGGTGATTTATTGGTCTTGCATTGCACTTTGCGGGATTAGATTCAGAACCGTGACATTTGAGTCCGAACTGTAGCAGCCCAATGAACAAAACGGGATTTTCCCAGGACGTTCGTGCACGTTTACAATATGTCTAATGCAACACATGCAATATGCAATTGGAAGTCTGGCTACTAGCATATCATATGAATCAATTTGATAGCATGCTATTTTAAACACGTTTTTAAAGAAGTATTTAAACGACAATACTTGTTAGAATGAGGAGCCAAACCTCATGCATGCAAGACAAATGAATGCTTTATACATGGAAAATAATAAACAAAATATGATGCTCTAAACTATCCATCATAAGTGGGTAAATAAAAGGGAGAAAGACGTGAGATTAGAAGACATACACGCATTATTACATATTTGCCCTCGCTCATGAGGGTTTGAATGAATGAATTAGCTAAGCTACTTAACTAATTATTACAACACCGAACTTAACTAACTATTCTAGCTAATTAAATTATTACAACATAAAATTAATTACCCTAACTAATTAACAACACAAAATTTACTAGCTACTTTAGCTAACTAATTACATATTATAAGTCCACAAGTCAACGGGACCCGAGAAACGAGGGAAGGGCTTATGCATGTACATGATTTGCTCCCCTGAGAATGCCTCTACACTGTTTTGCACCTCCGCCTCTGCTCTGTTCTATGAAGAAAAATGGTATTGCCTGGCTGAAAAAGGTGGCTGACATGCCAAAGTGGTAGCCGGCCGCCCACTAATAGTGGCCTATCGTACGGTAAAGGTGGCCTGTCGGCCACTAATGTTGGGTTGCTCCTACTGCAACAGAAAACAAACAAAGCACAAACAGAGCATTCTCAGGGGATGTTTGTCTACCCTGCCTCTCCTTATCATCAGACAGCTCAAAAGAAGGGCAGGCTCGATTCGCAAGCCATCAATCGGTGCAAATTCATTGCGTGATGGCTTAGGAACTGAGGGATACAATTTCAATAAATGCACAGTTAAAGACTCATGAACCTCTTCACTATCATGATATTGATCAGGGGAGGTGATTGACATTGATTCTTGAACAATTTTCATCATTAGCAAGTATGAAACGACTTAAGACTCAATGGGTTCAATTAACGTCTGATTGAAACCAAACCATTTTATTATCTTGCTCCATTTTAAGCCATTGATTACCCCTTTTAATTACCTTTTCCATTCATTAGTCATTTTAGTCCAAAATGAGCATTAAGTCCATTAAAGGAGGGAAATGTCAATCAAAAGGTTGTTTTGGGCATGAGAGAGATGTCATGTCGTTGGTAATAAACATTTGAAGAGATTAAACCATTAAGTACAACAATCTTTATCTCAAGCTTAAACAAACAATCGATTTGAAACGATTCTCAAAACAAGGAAAAAGTCAAGAAATGAGAGAGACATAGAGACGATTAGGGCTGAACACAAGTATGAAAAGCTTAAAATAAATGTTATCAACTCAAATAGGTTGGTGTCTAATACCTAGAACACCAAACCTATTATGACCATTACACTACAAGCATGCAATACAAAGAATAAATAACATGAACAACTTAAAACAGTCCTAAAGTAGGCTAAAATAGCACTGAAATTAAGGTAAAAACATCTACAAAAGCAAGCTAAAATAATGGTGCAATTAAGCTAGTAAACAAGCCAAAGGACGGGAGGCTAACCCCTCCATTTTTGGGACTTCAAAACCACATTTTAGCCTTTGAAAAACCTCTAAAAATTAGTGGTAAATAGCTCAAAAAGCGTTAATGAAAAGGTGGGAAACACAAGGGCAAAAGCCTAGAAGACAAGGGTCAAAGAGGAGTGGTCCACTCCTCTGCCCTTAATGGCCTTACACCACAAGTTTCAGCCCACAAAAACAGGTAAAAAATAGTCCAAAAATAGTAAGGAAAGATGGAAAAGAAGTAGTGCAAAAGAGCTAGGATGTATACCTCTTGAAGAGGAATAATCCTTTTGTTCACAAATCACTAATTTCACACCTTCAAGAGCTAAATGCAAGCTCAATAACCTCAGCAAAAGACCCTCAAAGTTTTGTTTAGAGAGTCTAGGTAGAAGGTATACAAGTTACAAGAGAGAGAGAAATGTAGAGAGAAATATTTTCCAAAACTTTGCTCTCCAAAATTTCTCTAACCCTAAAACATGAGAGGGAGTCATCTATATATATAAGTATATGAGACTATCTCGAAAATATCCATATAGACATAGCTGGTGTGGTGCATGCATCTATAGAGATGGCTGGCAAAAAAGATCTGAATTTTTACATAAGTAGGTGGCAGGCCACTAGTGGGTCTATAGGTCTCTAGATGGTTAGGCTTGAAAAACTACTGTTTTGGTCCAAAAATAAGGTACAATGTTTGTAGGTTTTTGAGGCTCAAAACTGAGGTTTCCTGCTAAGGACATCGAGCATTTGGACAAGCGTGTAAATTCATCATTGGGTGATCAATCGGTAGGGCCCAAGTCTTAAGGGCGGTCAAAAATGGGGTGTCTATAGTTGCCCCTCTTTGACAGAGCTTGAAGTCAAGAAATGACGTGAGTGAATGTTAAAGCCCATAGACGACCCATTTTGACAAGGCCGTAAGACTTGGGCAAACAATCAAGACATAAATTAAATTGGTTGCGCTCGAAAGCTGCCTACGTATCCCTTTATAAGGAATCAAACCAACGTAGTTCAAAGGCAAGATGCAAAATGATACATATGATGCGACGTAACAATTGAAATAAATAAACGAGAGCAATCTTAACTACGCTTCCGCGCATAAGAAATAATCCCACCTACACCTCTGTGAAGAAAGGTTAACAAGAGACTAGCCCAAACTACACTTCTGCTCAGAAAGACGAGAAACAAACCAAACTACACTACCGCATAGAGGAGTACAAGAAATAACCCTAACTACACTACCGGGCAAAAAAGTACAAAAAAGAACCAAGCTACACTACCTCGTAGCGAGGAACAAGAGCAACCAAACTACACTGCCATGTAGAGAGGTAATCCTAACTACATTTTCGTGTAGATAGGGTAACAAAACAAACCAAGCCGCACTACCGTGTGGCGAGGAACAAGAATAACCAGGCTATACTACCACGTAGCGAGGTGATCCTAACTACACTTCCGTGTAGAGAGGATAACAAAACAAACCAAGCCACATTATTGTATGGCGAGAAACAAGAACAACCAGGCTACACTACCGCGTAGCGAGGTGATCCTAACTATACTTCTGCGTAGAGAGGATAACAAGACAAACCAAGCCACACTACCGCGTGGCGAGGAACAGGAACAACCAGGCTAAACTACCGCGTAGCAAGGTGATCCTAACTACTCTTCCGTGTAGAGAGGATAACAAAACAAACCATGCCACATTACCGTGTAGTGAGGAACAAGAACAACCAAGCTACACCTTCACGTAGTGAGGTGATCCTAACTACACTTCCGCTTAGAGAGCATGCCGAGGAACAAGAACAACTAGGCTACACCACCACGTAGCGAGGTGTTCCTAACTACACTTTTGCGTAGAGAGGATAACAAAACAAACCAAGCCACACTACCGCATGGTGAGGTTAAAGGAAGGGAACCCAAATCTCACGACAAGGGTGGACACCACGACGCACATGAATACGACACAATGCAACGTAATTGAAATTCAGTATGATGACAACACATGTTCTATGCAAAATAATAGACAACCGACATATGATATTAATTGAAAGCATGTTCTATGAAAGAATCAAAAACATGTTCTATGCAAGATAATCGAAAGCATGTGAGTTACAAACGATGCAATGCACACTTGCAACATACGAAGTATGTGAGAGTGCACGTTCTATGCAAAAAAAGGTAACAGATATATAAATCAACAAAACAAACAAAAGCGATGTTCGACAAAAACCTCCGACTTACCTCTCATAGGCTTTGCAAAATGCTCAAAAAGGATACACCTTGTTCATATTTGAAATTGGGCATGTTCGCGCGGCGGAGTACAACGGGTATTGGAACGGCACAATCGGAACACAGTTTCGAGCTCCTCGGAAATCAAATCCAATGCAAATACCTCAATCCTTCTTTCCAGACCCAAAATCGGACCTCCCATACTCTGTTAGGACAAAAGGGGAACAAAACCAACACTAGGCCACAAAAAGGGCCTGCCGACCACTAATGCAAAAATGGGGGCACTTCGGTCTTTTAGCCACAAGTCTTTTTAAATACATCACTAAACTTCATTTCCTCACACACCCAAGTCTGAAATCATCCCCTCTCTCTCTAGGTGCTTTCTCTCTCTAGATCTTCGTTTTCCAACGTCACACGCAAACTTTATTCTTAAAACCTCTTTGGTCCCCTTCACTTTGAACCGATCATATTTTGTTTTTGTTGATTTTTTCAGATTTTTAACACTTTGGGCTTGTTTCCCTTGAGTTTTTCTTGGGTTTTGTGAACTTCCTGGGGTTTTGACTTTTTCTCTCATTTTCTCTCTCCTAGAGTTGACTTTTTCCAAGTTTTTCCTCTTCTCCATTTTCCCTCATTTTTTCACCGACTTTTCACTCATTTTTCAGATGGCAAACGACATTCCTCATGATGACGCCCCTCTCGGGGTTCCACTTGCCCTTTACCAAAATTGAGGAGCCGACAGTTGCGGCTAGCGAAGCGGCAGAGGACATTGCCGCCGATTTCGAGGCAAAGTTCGCTCTAGGGCTCGAGCCTGAGTTACTACCATTGAGGGTGAGGCCCTTTGATCCAGCCACTTACCACCCCCACACGCACACAATGGCATCTGGAGGCATCAGGTGCTTTGATGATTTTGCTGATGCCGTGTCAGAGTATATTTTACTAAGAAAGCCAGATTCCCACATTTCCCACGGTGCTACTGAGGTACACACTTTATTTTACTGCCTTTCATCTGACTATCTTGCATTGCCTTTCATCTGCCTATTCTTTTATCACTGTCTTTCATCTGATTCACTCTTTCTTTGCCACAGAAGGACTCTTGCTCCTATAGGAGTTACGGGGCAGTGACAACCAGGGATTAGTATCACGAGCTCTCCCCCCGGGTCCACTACCTTGTCGATGAGGCAGGCTTTGGCTTACTCTACACTGGTCTCACGTGCCACATGGTTAGTCGAGCCCTACTTGGAGCATTAGTGGAGAGGTGGTGGGATACCACCAACTCCTTCCACTTCTCTTTCACTTGGGAGATGATGATGACCCCCTATGAATTTTCGATGATCACAGGCTTAGGAGTAGGGGGTGATTCAATCCCTTTCAACATGGACATGGGCCAGTGGGAGATGACCTGGATCTACCTGCTTAGAGCGAGCCCGCCTCTATACAGGCCAGCTATGGTGCGATATAATTGGTTCCTCGAGTGCTTCCGCAGGAGTCAGCTTGAGACGTCAGAAGAGGTAAAGCAGTATGCCTGAGGCTTCTTGATGTACCTTCTTAGTACCACCTTGTTCACGAACAGGTGGAATACCGTGGGTTTGTACTTGCTGAGCGCCCTTGTGACCTTGCCCCGGGTTTGGTTTTACGACTGGGGTGGAGCCAGCCTTGCCACACTCTACGGCTACATAAGCTCCACTTCCCGTATGAAGGGAGACAAGGTCAGAGGCTACCGGAGAGCCTGGGAGGTATGCATTGCACTTTCGATCTTGTTCACTTTTTTATGCTTTTTCCTTTGCACTTTCTGCCTTATACATGTTCATGCATTGTGCTTTCTGCCTTGCACTTTCTGTTTAATAGCTACTCACACACTGTTGATAACACTGTTGATCTTTTCTTGCAGCTGTGAGTCTACGCCTATTTCCCAGCCCTTGCTCCAGAGCCGATGGATGAGATTGCTCCAGTCGTGCACTACTCGCGACAGTATGATGGCAGGTGCAGCAGCGAAGACATGACGTTCACCTTCTATCATCACTACTTCGACACTATGATTGCCCGTGAGGTAATCTGAAACTCACAGCCATTTCCATTTTATTCCCATTACTACTATTCTGATCCATATTCTGACAACTGGCAGCAATTAACAACTTGTAAATTCTCTATTCGCAGATCACCTGGTAGCTATGGACGACGATGCCAGCTGGAGTTAGGGTCCAGTATGCTGGAGCCTGGGCTATATCTCGATATCAGATTTTGCTGGAGGGTCCATTCTGTCGGGCCTGGTTCTTGGGAGAGTGGTTTGTACGCCAGACACTAGGCTTGCCCGCCCTGGTTGTTCCTATGCCGCCTCCAGCATCCATGAGGACAACTGATAGCTTCTCAGCAGGCCATTATTCAGTATATGGTGGGGCTAGATACCGACTACTTCCGAGGGGACAGAGATTACACGGCCTTCATTAGGACTCACCTTATGGCACCCCTGACTGGCATTCGTGCGGGCGATGCAGCGGGTGCTCCCTTGGCCGAAGAGGTTGCTCAAGGGGCTGAGGCTTGTATTGGAGCGGCTTCTCTTACTACGTAGGCTACCGGTTGGCCAGCAATTCCTACCGTGATTCCTTGTGGGCGGCTGAGCGGAACGGTCTATCGGTTCTCAATAGATCCACCAGAGACGGGGCACGGGTATGTCAGAGCCCCGAGTGTACCTCAGGTATAGACCATACTTCACACCTTGCATCCCGTATTCTTCCTTTTCGGATACTGATTATTCAATTTTGCTTGCAGGCACCCAAAGAGTACACAGAGGGCCTTCTTCAGCTGGTTGTCTCCCTATTTCACATGGTGCAAATGAGGGATATGCTGCTCGCTTTGCACGGTATCCAAGTATACTTCTCTTCTCCTCACGCATTGCATTGCTTCCTACACTGTACTGACATGCCATATTCCCACTGATACACGATACTCATACTATGCGACACTCACAGTGATACACTTTACACTGACATATATTCGGATACATTGCTTCACATTGCACTAACACACTGCACCGACACGCTACACTGACACACTACACCTGTTTTCTGTACCATACTTATACTACCTACTGCAGTCCGTACCACGTCCTGTATCTGATATGTTGATGCTTGTTTTTCAGGTTCCATCTGCACCGAAGGCATTAACAGCACTGGCGGCACCTCCTCCAGCGGTAGGGAAGAGAGGTACACAAGCTCCAGCACGCGGCCGAGACGAGCGTAGAGGTCGAGGCAGAGGCAAAGGTGCTCAAAGTCATAGCAACTCAGAGCCGATTTTGAGTGGGGATGATACTAAGACCAGGGGCTCTGAGGAGGCACTAAGCTAACTCTCTGAGTCTAAGAGCAAGTACAATGATGCTAGCTCGGGATTAGAAAACGGTGATGATGCCGAGGCTGGCTCTGAGTCAAGGAGCAAAGATGATGACACTGGCTCTGGCTTGGAGTCCGATTCTGATAGCGGTGCTGATGGAGACAGCGCTCTTAACTCCCCTCAGAGGAAGAGGATGAAGAGGGCCTCTCAAGCTTGATGCGACTGGCCCAGATTTTTGTACTTTTTACTTAGTTTCTTTTATTTTTGGTAGCTTAGCACATGTATAGCTTCAGATAGGCTTTTATTTTTGCTTGAAAACACTTGTACTCTCTTTTGTAAGAACTATGATCAGGGGAAAACTCTACAGTTTGATGAAAACAGATTTACTTTGTGTCATGCGCACCATATTTGCATAAAATGAAAATAGAATTGAATTTGAAACCAAGAATACTTGTATTGGAACGATACTTTTAATCAGATAATGAGCCGACCCACGACTAAAATACGAAATACAACTCGATAAGTGAAAAACAAAGTAAAGACAACATAAACATAGCTAGACACACATGCTATAAACAAAAGACTCAAGACAAAACCTCAAGATACAAAGACCAGGACAACCAAAATGCCAAACTATCAGGCCACAGAGTGGACGGACTGGCCATAAAAAGTGGGCGGCCGGCCACTTGTGGTGATCCACCAAATGGCTGATAGTTGGCCTTTACTCATAACCCTATCTTCTATAAAAGGTCTTCTTCACAATTTCTTCACCAGAACCTCATTTTAGCTATTGTTTTCTTTGAAAATAGAGATCTTCCTTGCAGAGAAACTCAAAGATTAGATAGCTATTTTAGACGGCACAGAAAATATGAATTTTTGAGGTTTTGGCATAACACGCTTTTTCCGTTGAGCCATACTCCATTTTGTTTTCCATTCCTCCATGCCGTGGTCCGATTTTGGGACCTAATTACACATGTATTTTTCTTTGGATCATAAGAAATGTGCTTGACTCTCAAGGAATTTCAAGCATTGTTGGAATCCTGACGTGATAAGGAGATCATGCCCCAGCCCCGTATTGGCCATGCCCTGGCTTTGGGATGGATGTGTGGGCTTACTTTGCACAAAGCTTGATCTTTGGCTCATGATGGGGAGCTAGATATACCCAGTTTGATTCATCGTTTTTCGAACATCGACGATAGACATGAACTTCTTTGGCGAGGCTTTCGGCAGCATGCCCTCTATTTATGTATGCTCACACATTTTCTTCTTGCCCCTTGTTGCAGCGAAGCTAGCATTAAACTAATCAAAGTAGCCCAATGTCTAAAAGTGGGTAAAAGCTGCGTCAGTTTAGCACTAGCTAGACCCTGATGGGTTTATATGCTTTTCATCCGCTACAGACCACCAGGTTTGCAGGGAGTCCACTCCTGCTCTAGGTATTGTTTCACACCCTTTTTTATATATGTGTTTCTCACATCACTTGGCACTCACGCTCTATTTTCTCTGAAAACCCTTTTTTTTATTTTTCTTTCAATTTACATCTCTCTATTCTTTAATCTCTCTTTTTTTTTGTCCCTTACTAGGTATGGCTTATGGATAAGCTGAAAGTGGTGGACCCTTACCCTGAATATTCAGCCCGAGCTTATTTCTTCTGCCAGCGACTAGTGGACTTTCCCAATGAGGGATGATGGTACAACTGGATGTGTAGCAAATCTGTGACCGACATTACTTGGCGTTGCCCCTGGCTTAATTTGACTGAGATGAGCTACAGCATGTCTTAACAACCAGGCATACAGTTGATTGGCCTTACCTACAGAGCATTCAATTTCCCCTTCTATTTCAAACGCTAGTTTGCACACAATCAGACCCGTCCAAATGAGGGGGTAGAATACCCCACTTCATTCCCACTTCGTGGTTCACACTTAACTCGGTACCTCACTGCTTGGAGGATGAGAGAGCTTCTTGCCCCTGCCCTTAGTTTCAGTTATGCTCTTTCCGGCGAGTGCTTAGATTGGCTCGAGGAGGAGGCACAGGTTGGGCCAACTTTGCCTGCAAAGATTTTCACAAGCATGAGCGAATGATGCAGGAGCACGTGACTCATCCATGCCCCTAGTTTATTGCTTTGACTTTTATTTTCAAGTTTTATGATGTAAAAACAACTTTGATTTGTATCAGAGAGTTGGAAAATGTACATTTATATTGAAATCAATGGAATTAAAGTTGTGAGCACTAAGAATTTTTCTTTTGGTCTCAAAAATGGTCTAAGTTGTAAAAAGATAAAATTTTGAACAAAACCAACTTTTATTAAAACTTTCCAAAATAATTTTCGGGAATGATCACTGCCTGACACGCACAGAATTAACCCTTAAGATGTATAGCCTCGAATCAACAGATCGCAACTGCCTATAACTGCATTTATCATTGTCACTCTGTCTTGCAATTGGCCCTTTCACCAAAATAAAGGTAACACAACCGAGATAAATAATGATAGACAAAGATGACCTAATTAAACAGATGGACAGGACAGTTAAGCTGGAGATGGTGTAGACACCCCATTTTTGACCGACCTTAAGACTCAGACGTCACCGATTAAGCGCTTGGTGATGTTGCATAATGTGCTTGTTCAGAAGTTTCAGAGTCGCGGCTGTGAGCCCTGCCTCCGGACTTCCAAACCCTTTTCTGTGCCTTGTCTCGGTTTGCGAGCCAGACTCGGTTTTCTCCGTTTCTTTTCCTGAGGGGAGGGAGAGGTCCCGTAGACCATCTCTCAATGTCCGTAGGCTACATTTGGTGGCCGTAGGCCATTTTGCCCATTTCGGAGTCCGGTTCCCGGTTTTCAAAGCCGTCAGGCCGCGTGCCTCGGTTCGGGACCGCCTAACCACCTCCGTTTGCTCTGATTTTCGGCATACTTCTTATTTTCTCCCTTTTGAGGGACACTGGGGTCTGAGAAACCCACTTCGTGGCCGAACGCCATTTTTGGTGCTTAACAGCCCATTTTCGGGACCCCGAACTGCGTGTTTTGGCCCCGGAACATTCGTTTTGCAACGGTTTTCGTTCATTTTTGGCAGGTACCTCTGTTTTATCACAGGGAAGGTCACTGAAGGGTGGGAGGCCAGAAATTAAAAAAAAAAAAAAAAAGAAAAAAAAAAAGGAGAGATTTTTTTTAATTTTTTTCCAATTTTTAAAAGTAACTTCAGCCCTTCACCCACAGGCATTCCAGGGCAGATATATCCAGATAAGCACAATAGCCCCCCCTGCATGGTAAAAGCATGCTATCAATGGTCCCCCATTCACTCACACGCAATGCAAGGATGGCTAAAGCATAAAAAACTCACCGAGTACTCCAAGCCAAATAGAAATTTATTTATGAAATCATGCATGATCCTAAGTATACAAAAATATCTAATGCAACACATGCAAAATGCAACTATAGTGGGCTCGGCTATTCTCAAGATGATATACGAAATGCGAGCACTAACAATGTTTTCAATTTTGAAATTGAAGTACATGCAGTTAAGTATGATGCGCGAGCCCGATGCATGGAATACAGATGAATGATGCCAAACGATGCTGTCATACTGTATGCTAATTAAAATATGCCCCATAGTCCTAACGCATGCAAAAGCGGATAAATAAAAGGGAGAAAGAAGTGGGGTTGGAAAGACATACATTCAGCACACTCACCCAACACTTTAGTTACAGTTGTGCCCTCACTGCGGAGGGTCCGAATAAATATACAGTCCAAATATTACAGTCCCGAATAAAAGAATAATTACAAGATTTCTAAATTAATTAATGAATTAACTTAAGAAAAACAAGTAAAACTGGCATGCAAGCCAGGACTGCCTTGCTTCTGGTGGATGGATGCATGTCCGGATCTGTCCTTGCGGCGGAAATCCACACGGAATGCCGCCAATTAGCCTCTGTTTACACCTGTTAGTCTTGAAAGGCCATGCCAAGTCCCGGAAAGTTGTTGATTCCTGGTTTTGCTGCAACAGAGAGCAGGAAAGGGGCATTAGCAATTATTTGCACAAATATATGCATGTCGTCGATTCCTCGTGCCACCAATCACGCATACCGATGGCATGATGGCCCGAGGAGTCCGAAATGCACAACTCAATATAGGATTGAATGACCATCATAAGAAAACTACAAGCTAAAACCATAACTCCATCATGGATAATCCGAGTGTCGGTGACTGAGGGAATTGAGGAACACATTCCGTCACTCGGAGGTACGAAATGGTATCTCGTTTCCCGTGCCCGGGCTAACTCCTATTCCGGAACACCATGCAATATGCAGTGATATGCATTGAAATGCAACTAAGATGCAATTCCTAATAGTACACAATGCTATGAAATGAGGTTGCCTCGAAAATGCGTGCACACGGCAACGCAAATCGAGGCGGATGGCAGATACGATGAAATGAGATGCTCGAAGTGCGTGCACACGGGCACGCAAACGCGAGGCGATGACAGATACGGTGAAAATGAGATGCTCGAAGTGCGTGCATATGGGCACGCAAACGAGGCGATAGCAGCATACAATGAAAATGAGATGCCTCGAAGTACGTGCACACGGGCACGCAAACCGAGGCGATGATAAATGCAATGAAAATGAGATGCCTCGAAGTGCGTGCACACGGGCCCGCAAACACCGGGGCAATGACAAAATATTATGAAATGACATGGAAAAGACAAATGGGCTTATACTAACATGAAGAGAGCCTCAGCCGCACTCACATGAGATGCCGATGGCAGAAAATGAGTGCCTCCAAATGCGTGCACACGGCACGCAAATCGACGGCGGTGCATACGCAATGCAAATGACATGGAAATGATAAATGGACTTATACTAACATGAGAAGAGCCTCAGCCACACTCACTAAGATGCCGATGGCAGAAAATGAAGTGCCTCGAAATGCGTGCACATGGGCACGCGAACCGAGGCAATGATAAAAATGATGCGAATGACATGGAAAATGATAATGGACTTATACTAACATGAGAGAGCCTCAGCCACACTCACATAAGATGCCGATGGCAGAAAATGAAGTGCCTCGAAATGCGTGCACATGGGCACGCAAATCGAGGCGGTGCATACGCAATGCAAATGACATGGAAAATGAATAAATGGACTTATACTAACATGAGAGAACCTCAGCCACACTCACATAAGATTGCCGATGGCAGAAAATGAAGTGCCCTGCGAAATGCGTGCACATGGGCACGCGAACCGAGGCAATGATAAAATGATGCGAATGACATGGAAAATGATAAATGGACTTAACTAACATGAGAGAGCCTCAGCCACACTCACATAAAGATGCCGATGGCAGAAAATGAAGTCTCGAAATGCGTGCACATGGGCACGCGAACCGAGGCAAGA